GACAGCTCTGGGCCATACTGCTCGTCAAGGGCTTTCGCCGACAAAGCCATGACCCATCCAAGAACACAGGCGATACCTTGATCCGAGATGGCTACGGATGTGACAGTGATCAGTGATTTTGTTCGATGACGTGGTGACACACTGACTTGTTGTGGTAACATGCCGACGACGATTTGAAGGGCCTACGGTGCGAAAAATGATTTTATGTTGCGCGGTGCTAAAATTCCTACGAAACCCAATGGTTTTTGAAGATTTCGGCGTGCGCACGGAAAGAAAAACGAATGTGTCCCGCATGGTATTATTTGACAGGGATGATGGCCCTGGCAGGTGCGCAACCGTTGTTGGAGAAGTTCGAAGCACGTGAAGAAGTTGATCGCAAAAGCCCGTTTGACAGAAATGTTTAAAAAAGTTGGGTTTCCTGCAAATCCGCAAGAGCGCGCGGGATGAAATTGTGACACTTTTTTTTTTTAAAAAAAAAAAAAAAACATTGTTTTTTGATGTTTTTATGTTGAAATCGCTACGAACACTAAGGTTTTGGAAGGATTTCGTCTTGCGCGCGCGAATGTCCACTTTACCTTATTTTTTGCAAGGGATTCTTGAAGTTTGGTTATTTTAGAACAAGAAATTTCATTTTATAGTGTTTTTTGCAAGGGACAGCGGGGGGGAACAAAACAACCGGATCTTGATGACATCGTATTACCTGAGGCTTCCTCACGAAAATGATGAAAATGTAGCTGCGGCCTAGGCGCGGCGAGGGGGTCGCGCACCAGGGGTCCCAACAATAATAATTCTTTAGAATAAATAATGTTCAACAACAACAACAATAAGTTTAAGACTGTTCACCCTTATCTGCTCGAGTGTCCAGTAACGCGTATTTCCCGAACCCTCGAAGCCCGCCCTCATCGTCTTCGATCGAACCCCTTTTGGGGGGTATACCTTTCTTCCCTGCAGGCCGGGCCCCCGCAAGCGGCGGGGCGGCCGCGGACCGTCGGCCTGGCCAGCGGCAGCGCTGATCGGAGGGGCGGCCGCGGACCGTCGACCCGACCCCAAGAGGGACGGACATGGGACCGAACACGACGACGACGACGACGACGACGACGACGCCGACGACGACTACGTCGACGACGACGACGACGACGACGGCGACGACGACGACGACGACGACGACGAACGAAAGCGAGAGCGACAGAGAACGACAGCAGGGCCACAAGGACACGAAGTAGGCCACGAAGGGCGACAGCGGGGACACGAAGGGAATGCGTATGGGGCCACGAAGAGCGCGAACGAGCGGGGGCCACGAAGGGCAGATAATGCGGGGCCACAGAAGGCAACGATGGGGCCGACGAGGGTAGCAACTGGGCCACGTAGGACAGTGAGGGGGCCACAAACGGCGACAGCGGGGCCACGAAGGGCCTGCACATGGGGCCACAACGGGCGCGAACGAACGGGGGCCACGAAGGGCATACGTATACTGGGCCGCGGAGGGCAAGGACGGGGCCACAACGGGCAGCAACGGGGCCACGAAGGGCAGCGAGGGGGCCACGAAGGGCTGCAACGGGGCCACGAAGGACATGCATATGGGGCCACCACGGGCGCGAACGAGCGGGGGCCACGACGGGCATACATATATGGGGCCACGAAGGGCAGCGAGGGGCCACGAAGGACATGCATATGGGGCCACGAAGGGCAGCGAGGGGGCCACGAAGGGCTGCAACGGGGCCACGAAGGGCGACAGCGGGGACACGAAGGGATCGAGGGGGCCACGAAGGGCTGCAACGGGGCCACGAAGAAAAAGCGAGGGGGCCACGAGGGGCTGCAGCAACGGGGCCACGAAGGGCAGCGAGGAGGCCACGAGGGGCTGCAACAGGGCCACGAAGGGCGACAGCGGGGCCACGAAGGACATGCATATGGGGCCACCACGGGCGCGAACGAGCGGGGGCCACGACGGGCATACATATATGGGGCCACGAAGGGCAGCGAGGGGGCCACGAAGGGATGCAACGGGGCCACGAAGGGCAGCGACGGGGCCACGAAGGGCTGCAACGGGGCCACGAAGGGCTGCGACGGGGCCACGAAGGGTAGCGAGGGGGGCACGAAGGGCTGCAACGGGGCCACGAAACAAAGCGAGGGGGCCAGGAAGGGCTGCAGCAACGTGGCCACGAAGGGCAGCGAGGAGGCCACGAGGGGCTGCAACGGGGCCACGAAGGGCAGCGAGGAGGCCACGAAGGGCTGCAACGGGGCCACGAAACAAAGCGAGGGAACCACGAAGGGCTGCAATGGGGACACGAAGGGCAGCGAGACCCGATTCCTAGGTGATCTGTGAGGGAGTCCTAAGCGTGAGCGCTACTCCTGGGTGCCTGGGTGTCGGGAGCGCGGCGCTTGAGTATATTGCAAGAAATTCCAACGCAAGGGCGCTATTCTTCAGTAAATTGCAAGCAAGTCTCCAGCGAGAGCGCGACTCCAGAGCGCCGGGAGAGCGATTCCTGAATAAATTGTGAGGAAGTCCCAAGCGAGAGCGCGATTCCTGAATAAAATGCGATGAAGTCTCGGGCGGGAACGGGGGTCCTGGCTACATTGTGAGGAAGTCTCAGGCGGGAGCCGTTGTTGTTGTAACCCATGGGCCAGGGGCCCAGTTTGAGCCTCAAGACTTTCCCTGATAAAAAACCGGGTGCGAGCGTCGAGGGGCACACTTTGATTGAGAATTCAGCAACAATCATGTTACCCTCATGCGCGATGTTTCCACACGAAGCATGCGACCATCATGATAGCCATCCACATCATTGGGGATTCCTGTTCTATAGCGGGGCCCGTTATCGCCATTCCCAGATATCCCGCCCAATGAGGTTTTGCAAACACCTCCTCCGAGAAATTTCAACATATCCCGCCTCGAAAACACATGCCCGCGCCTTGCTGCGCCGATGCGAGACCGCCAGTGGAACCCCAGCGAAGGGTAAAGCATAAGGAAATATCGAACAACGGGATTGCCTTGGTGAGGACGGGGGCCTTCGGCGGTGAGGCAAGGACCTGGCCCTGAATAGAAAGGGAGGAAGTCTCGAGCAGGGCTGCTGTTGTTGCTGGGAGCGGCGCCAGCGCTGAAGAGAATAGGGCGCTGGTCCAGCGTAAAACAAAACGAAGTCTCGAGCGGGAACGCTGGTTTTGTTGGGACGGCGGCTTTCGGCGGCGAGGAGGAACACCGCCTTGAGTAAGAAAGGAGGAAGCATCGAGCGAAAGCCGTGGTTTTTTCAGGACGGGGGCTGTCGGCGGCGAGGAACAGAACCGTTCCGAGGAAAAAGAGAGGAAGACTCGAGCGGGAGCGTTGTTCTTGCTAGGAGCAGCGCAAATTCAAAAGAGAGTTGGGCACCAGTCCAGCGTAAAACGGAAGGAAGTCTCGGGCGGAAGCGCTGGTTTTGTCGGGGCGGCGGTTTTCGGCGGCGAGGAGGAACACCGCCTTGAGTAAGAAGGGAGGAAACATCGAGCGGGAGCCGTGATTTGTCGGGACGGGGGGTTGTCGGCGGCGAGGAACAGCGAGAGGAAGCCTCGAGCGAGAGCGTTGTTCTTGCTGGGAGCGGAGCCAATTCAAAAGAGAGTTGGGCGCCAGTCCAGCGTAAAACGGAAAGACGTCTCGGGCGGGAGCGCTGGTTTTGTCGGGCCAACGGTTTTCGGCGGCGAGGAGGAACACCGCCTTGAGTAAAAAAGGGAGGAGGCCTCGAGCGGGAGAGTTGTTTTTGCTGGGGGCGGCGCCGATGAGAGAAAGACTAGCGCGCCAGTCCAAGGTAAAACGGAAGGAAGTCTAGAACGGGAGCGCTGGTTTTGTTAGGACGGCGGCTTTCGGCGGCGAGCAAGAACACCAGCCCTGAGCAAAAAAGGAGGAGGTCTCAAGCGGGAGCGTTGTTGTTGTTGGGGGGCCAGTTTTGGCGGTCCCCCAAACCGCTCGAGCATGAGCCCCATTTCCAAGGAAAATGTAGCCGGCGCCTCGGCGAGAACGCCAGGGCGCCTGTAAGGGGTCCAACAATAATAATTGTCTGGGAATTAACATTCAACAGCAACAGCAACAACAACAACAACAGCAGCAGCAGCAACAACAACAACAACAACAACAACCACGACGACGACAACAACAACACCAACAACAACAGCAGCAACAACAACAACATTGACAAAACCAACAAGAGAGAAAGAGAGAGCTAACAACTAAGAAATCTATGTATACTGAGAAAGAGAGACAGAGAGAGACAGAGACACAACAGACATTTGTTTCCGTCAGCGGCGAGACGGCGAACTCCATTCCAGCGAGAAGCTAGATAATTAGGGGCACTAAATAACGAATTGGCCTGCGAGCGCAGAGGGGGTGGGACGGCCGAGAGGAAGAAGGGACGCTCAGACGCCAGAGGGGGCTGCAGCAGCCAGGTGCGCAGGGCCAGGACACAACACACACACACAGAGAATACGAGAGAGGGGCGGGAAAGAGAGAGAGAGAGAGATATAAAGACATATATATATAGAGAGAGAGGTATAGGAAGCAGAAAGAGAGAGAGAGAGTGTGTGAAAAAAACATACTTGGGAAAAGCAATTAATTGTCCTGGCGAAAGACCCAACCATAATATGCAATTGTGTATAACGCAGTTGTGAGTACCGTCCTCGGTGGAGCTCCCCATGGGGCCACGAAACGTGTGAGGGGTGCCTAAGTGGACGTGCGGTGGGCGGGGAGCCGCATGCGAACCATGCCACTGGGGCATTTTGTGCAGCCCCCCATGGGGCCACGAGCCGTGAGAGCGGGTTCTCCGACATGGACGTGCAGAGAGCAGAGGCAGGGGCGGGAGGAGGGAGGAGCGGGAGGAGGAAGGATGCAGGAGTGACGCGGGGCGCTGCCTCCTCAAAGCGAGGACCCAACACCACAGCATGGCTGGGAAAAGGGAAGCGCGAGAGAGCGGGTCAACCTCCCTGCGGGCGGCAAGCCCCTCGCCCCCCGCCGGTGTGGGCGTGAAGGCCGAGGGCCCCACGCCGTCCGCGGAGTCCTCGGCGGCCAGCCGGGTGGCGGAGTGCGCCGGGCGCGACGGCCGCGCGGCCTCCACTCCGGGTGGCACTCACCGCGGCGCCCTCCCCAGGCTGCCGGGTTTCCTCGCGCTTCCTTCCTCCCTCTCCCCTTTCCCGCAGCTCCTCCTCCTCATTCACCCCCTCCTCCTCCTCCTCCTCCTCCTCCTCCTCTTCCTCCTCCTCCTCCTCCTCCTGCTCCTCCTCCTGCTCCTCCTCCTCCTCCACCTCCCCCTACTCCTCATTATGATCATCATCATCACCACCATCATCACCACCAGCATCATCATCATCCTCCTCCTCAGCATCATCATCGTCATCGTCATCATCATCATCATCATCATCATCATCATCATCATCATCATCATCATCATCATCATCATCATCATCATCATCATCATAATCACCACCATCATCACCACCAGCATCATCATCATCATCCTCATCCTCCTCCTCAGCATCATCATCATCATCATCATCATCATCATCATCATCATCATCATCATCATCATCATCATCATCATCATCATCATCGTCATCATCATCAGCAGCATTCCCATCATCAGCAGCAGCATCATCATCACCAGCATCATCACCATCATCATCATAATCAGCATCCGCATCATCATCACAACCACCATCCTCATCATCATCAGCAGCATTACCACTACCATCATCATCATCAGCATCCTCATCATCGTCATCATCATCGTCATCATCATCGTCATCATCATTATCGTCATCGTCATCGTCAAAATCTTCATCATCATCAACATCATCATCATCATAATCATCATTATCGTCACAATCCCTCTCCTCTTTCCCTCTGCTCCTCCTCATCTTACCTCTTCCCTATCCCACATGTTCTTCTTCTCGTGCGTCCTCCTCCTCCTCCTCCTCTTCTCCTCCTCCTCCTCCTCCTCCTCCTCCTCCTCCTCATGCGCCTCCCCCTCCTTCCCCTCCTCGATATCACAACCACCACCATCATCATCATTATTAGCGTCGTCGTCATCATCAGCAGCAGCAGAAGCATTAGCATCATCATCAGCATCAGCGACAGCGTCAACATGATAATGGTGCTGATGATCATAGTCATGCTTTTTCCTTCTCCTCCTCCTGCTCCTCCTCCTCCGCCTCCTCCTCCGCATCATGATAATCATAATCATAAGCATCATCATCATAACCACGCTCACAATCACAATTATCATCAGAATCATCGTCCTCGTTGCCGTCATGATCATCATCGTCATCATTATCATCAGCATCATCATCAGCAGCAGCATCATCATTATCATCATCACCATCATCATCACCATCATCATCATCATCATCATCACCATAATCAGCATCAGAATCATCATCTTCATCACCACCATCATCATCATCAGCAGCAGCATCACCACCATCATCATCATCATCATCATCATCATCGTCATCATCATCAGTATCATCATCGCCATCATCATGATCGTCATCGTCATCGCCAAAATCATCATCATCATCAACAGCATCATCCTAATCATCATCATCGTCACAATCCCTCTCCTCTTTCCCTGTGCTCCTCCTCATCTTACCTCTTCCCCATCCCACATGTTCTTCTTCTCGTGCGTCCTCCTCCTCCTCCTCTCCTCCTCCTCCTCCTCCTTATGCGCCTCCCACTCATTCCCCCTCCTCGATATCACAACCACCACCATCATCATCATTATTAGCGTCGTCGTCATCATCAGCAGCAGAAGCATTGGCATCATCATCAGCATGAGCGACAGCGTCGACATGATAATGGTGATGATGATCATAATCGTACATATTCCTTCTCCTCCTCCTCCTCCGCCTCCTCCTCCGCACCATGGTAATCATAATCACAAGGAAAATCATCATCATAATCGCAATCAGAATCACAATTATCATCAGAATCATGGTCCTCGTCGTCGTCATCATCATCGTCATCATTATCATCAGCAGCATCATCAGCAGCATCATCATTATCATCATCATCATCATCAGCATCACCATCATCATCACCATCATCATCATCATCAGAATCCGCATCAGAATCAACATCATCATCACCAACACCGTCATCATCAGCATCAGCAACGTCACCACCATCATCACCAGCATCATCCTCATCATCAGCATCATCATCAGCATCATCATCGTCATCAGTTTCGTCATCATCATCATCGTCATCATCATGAACGTCATCGTCATCGTCAAAATCATCATCATCATCATCATCATCATCATCATCATCATCAACAGCATCATCCTAATCATCATTATCGTCACATTCCCTCGTCTCTGTCCCTCTGCTCCTCCTCATCCTACCTCTTCACCATCTTACATGTTCTTCTTCTCATGCGTCCTCCTCCTCCTCCTCTCCTCCTCCTCCTCCTCCTCCTCCTCCTCCTCCTCCTCCTCATGCACCTCCCCCATCCTTCCCCCTCCTCGGTATCGCAACCACCACCACCACCACCATCATCATCATCATCATCATCATCATCATCATCAGCAGCATCATCATCATCGTCAGCATCAGCATCATCATCATCATCATCAGCATCATCATCATCATTAGCGTCGTCGTCATCATCAGCAGCAGCAGAAGCATTAGCATCATCATCAGCATCAGCGACAGCGTCAATATGATGATGATGATGATGATCATAATCATACTTACGTCTCCTCCTCCTCCTCCGCCTCCCCCTCAGCATCATCATAATCATAATCATAAGCAGAATCATCATCGTAATCGCAATCATAAGCACGCTCATCATCAGAATCATCGTCCTCGTCGTCGTCATCGTCATCTTCATGAGCATAATCAGCATCAGCATCAGCATCATCTTCAGCATCATCAGCATCATGATAATCATCGTCATCCGCATCATCAGCATCATCATCATCATCATCAGCAAAATCGTCCAGCTCACTACCATCATCACCATTATCATCATCGGTATCATCATCATCGAAAGCAGCAGCAGCAGCATTGTCATCATCCTCGTCATCATCATCAGCATCATCATAATCATCACAATCATCATCAGCATACTCATATCGACATCATCGTCCTCATCATCATCATCATCGCCATCGTCATCCGCATCATCATCTAAATCGTCCACAGCATTGCCATCATCACCAGTATCATCATCAACAGCAGCATCGTCATCATCATCGTCATCAGCATCATCATGAGCATTATCATCATCATCGTCGTCATGATCATCATCATCGCCAGCAGCAGCAGCATCGTCGTATTACTCGTTGTCGCCGTCATCATCACCATCACCGCCATCGGCAGCAACAGCAACATCATCAGCATCAGCAATAGCAGCATCATCATCATCTGCATCATCCTCATCGCCGCCGTCATCATCCACATTAGCATTGTCATCATCACCAACAGCATCACCGTCATCACAACCGATCACCATCATCATCAGCATCAGCATCAGCAGTATCATTATCATCAGCATCATCATCGGCATCGGCATCGTCATCGTCATCGTAATCGTCATCAGCCTCAGCATCATTATCGTCATCATCGTCATCAACACTATCATCATCATATCACTCGTCGTCGCTGTCATCTCCGTCATCATCACACTCGCAGTCGTCAGTTGCAGCAGTGGCGTCATCATAATCCCTGTCCCCTCTCCCCAGCACTATGCACCTGTCCTTCATCCGTCCTCCTCCTCCTGCTCCTGCTCGCCCCACGCATCTTCAAACCATCACTACCACCTTCACCGCCTGAAAATTTCATCACCCTCAGCATGCCCATCCGTCTCCATACTCTTCCTCCTTCTCCTCCTCCCCCTCCTCCTCGTCCTCCTACTCCTTCGCCCCCTCCGCCTCTTGCTTCCCCTGCTTCACCTTCTGTTCATGTTCATCATCCCCCTGCTCCTGGTCGTCACTATCCTACTTCTCGTCCTTATTCCCGCCACCCTCCAGCACCTTCCCACAACTTCGGGCCAGAGAGACCCCCCCTCCCCCGCCGGCTCGAGCGCCCACCGTACGCCTGCGGCTGCGAGGGCCGACGAAGCCGCCAGCACGCCGATGGCCACGAGGCACCTCCTGCATTGAGGAGGGCAGAAGGAAGAGGGACGAGGAGGACATCGTCGATGGGGAGGACAAGGAGGTAAGGAGGCGGAAACATCCACGATCGCCCACCCAGCCTCAGGAGGCCCGGTCTCACGCAATCTTGATTGGATGGGCTCCTGCAAAGGAGGAGTGGGAATGGGAAGGAGGAAGTTCAGGAGACTCAGCAGGAGGAGAAAGCAAATTGAATAGGATGACTAGAACAATGACGACCACAACGATGACCACGACGATGACCACGACGACGACGACGACGACGACGACGACGACGACGACGGCGACGACGACGGCGACGACGACGGCGACGATGACGACGACGACGACGCCGACGACGACGACAACGCGAACGACAAGGGTGAGGAAGAGGAGCAGCAGGAGGGAAGTAGCACAGGAGTAGGAGACTGTCCAGTGGCAGCGACAGCAAAAAATGAGACTGGAATGTGACAAACAGGTCATAATCGATCACTGTGCTGCCTCAGTCTGCAATCTCAGAGCACAATCGATATCTATAATGCCACAGTCGAGGCACCCTCCACCATTCCTGCCTTGCTCTTCCTCCTCCTCGTCTAACCCGCATGGTCACAATCACCATCAGCATAGGAACTCCATCGTCCAACTGCAACTACCCCCTCGGCTTCCATGACACAAGTGGCGTCATCATCATCATCATCATCATCATCATCATCATCATCATCGTCATCATCATCAGCATCATCATCAACATCATGATCATCATCATCAGCAGCAGCAGCATCAGCATCATCACCATCATCGTCAGAATTATCATCATCACCACCTCCACCACCATCATCATCATCATCATCATTATCAGCAGCAACATCAGCCACATCATACTCAGCATCATCAGCATCCTGATCATCAGCAGCAGCAGAATCGTAATCCGTGCCATCATCACCAGAATCACCATCACCATCATCGTCAGCATCATCATCATCATCGTCATCATCGTCATCATTATCATCAGTATCATCATTATCATCCTCAGCATCATCATCGTCATCCGAACCCTGATCATCATCAGCAGAAAGGGAATCATCAACATCAACATCAACATCATCATCATCATCATCATCCTCTCCATCACCATCGTGACCATCGTCATCATCATCATCCCTAGTATCGTCCATGCAATAATCGCGCGCATACGAATCAACATCAGCAGCATCATGAGTAGCATTATTACTAGTAGAATCATCATCCCTATCCTTATCCTTATCATCATCATCATCATCATCATCATCATCATCATCATCACCAGCCTCAGTATCATCATAAGCAGCAGCATCATCCATAGCATAATCATCATCAGCATCACCATCAGCAGCATCAGCAGCATCATCATCAGCATCATCATCATCAATATCATCATCATAATTATCATCATCGCCACCACCACCGTCAACATCTTCATCTGCAGCAGTAGCACCAGCCGCATCATAATCAGCATCATCAGCATCCTGATCATCAGCATCATCAGCAGCAGCATCGTAATCCGTGTCATTAGCACCAGCATCACCATCACCATCTCCATCACCATCGTCATCAGCATCATCATCATCGTCATCATGATCATCATTATAATTATTATCATTATTATCAGCCTCATCATCATCACTATCGTCATCCGCACCCTCATCATCATCAGCAGAAGCATAATAATCATCATCAACATAATCATCATCATCATCATCATCATCATCATCATCATCATCATCCATAGTATCATCTATACCATAACCACGCACATCATAATGATCATCAGCAGAATCATGAGCAGCATTATCATCAGTATGATCATCATCCTTATCCTCATCGTCATCATCACCATCATCATCCTTATCAGCATCAGCAGCAACATATTCCATATCATCATCATCATCAGCGTCAGCAACAGCATCATCAGCATGCTCATCATGATCATCTTCAGCAGCAGCATCATCATCCGCATCATGATCATCATCAGCAGCAAGAGCATCATTAGCAGCATCACCGTACTCTTCTTCACTTCGTCTTCATGTTCATGTCCGTCATGTTCTGCTCGTCCTGTGTTGATCCCTGCCTTGGACGCTGCCAGGCGTCCTGCCACTGCCAGCTGGCCGATCTTCTGCCACTACCAGCGGCAGCAGCTCATCGGTGTCGGCGCAAGCGTCTCCCAAGCCCAGATGGGGAGGGGACGGAGCACTGGCGCAGCTGAGGAGGACAACGACTGGGCACCTGCCCGTCCGTTCGCGCCTGCCTCCATGCCGTAGTAGGTCCCGAAACCCGAATCCACTAAGGTGAGGGTATTGGGAAAAGAACCCATGGATCAGGAATCCAGGGTCTGGAAGCCGGTGGAAGTCCGGTCGTGGATTGGCCATGGACATCACCGCCGCCCTTCTCAAAGAAGGAACCCTCCGGGGTCTGAGGCATCCTGGGCACATTCCTGAATGAACGCCTCCACTGTACGAATCCTCATCTCCCTCGTCGTCCTCCTTCTGGTCCTCCACGCGTCGCACCGACAAGCGGGGAGTCACGGCACGAACCAGGGGAGGGCCCTGCCGCGCGGCGGGGGCTCTTTGCGTGACCGCCTCGGGCACATCACCTCCCCGAGCACCTGTGAGTGCGTGCCTCAGCACATGGGATCACGCTGCTCACGCATGTGGCTCCCGATCACTGTGGCTGGCGCGCCGGTGGCCGCTTGTGACTCGCGCAGAGGCGGCTACATCAGCGAAGTGTCGATCCGAGGTTGAGGACTCAGAGGATGCAAGGCGAGCTGTCAATCGAGGATCTGGGCATGCGGTCAAAGAGGAAGAAAAAGAAGAAGAAGAAGAAGAAGAAGATGACCACCGCTACGGACAGCCGCCCAGGCATGCCCAAGACCAGGTGGGTGAAGCTGCGGAAAATCCGAGTGAACTGGACTCGCGGCAAAGGAATTTGCGAATAGTAGGAACAAAAATTGGCAATATGTGATGTGCAATCTATGTGGTGCAGTCTGTGCTATACAAATGTGGTGCAAGCTATGTAGTCCAACATATGCTGCGCAATATGTGTTGCGCAATCTATGTGGTGCAGTCTGTGTGGTGCAGTATATGTGGTGTAATGTGTGTGGTGCACAATGCGTTGTGCAAGATGTCCCTCGTAGTTCAGAGATGTCCGAGAAGGCAAAGGGCCTAGGCGGGCACCGTATATGTATGAAGAAGCAAGGCCCGCCCCGCCTTCGCACTGGCAACTGCAGCGCCAGGGGAGGACCAAGCGCCCTGGCAGAGCCTGGCCTGGATATTGTAAGTATGGAAAGCAATGATCACTCGCTCGAAAGCCATGCGGCGCGCAGCCCCCGACTCTCCGACCTTCAATCCGAGGCGGGTGGGCAGGCACGCAGGGGCAGGAATACGCACATGCCAGGCCATGCATACTGCGTGCCAAAGGTGCGAGCACGACATATAGTGTGGCATGGTATCAAACGCAGCAGGGTCTTCCACGCGCGAGCACCCAAATACACAGGCCTGATCTCCTGATGAGCGGTGCAGTCGTCGCGACGTCGTCCAGGCGCCTGACCAAGTTTTGATCAGGGCAGACTGGCCTGCTGGTGGGAATTGTTTCAGCAGTTCCAGGACGGGCGCCCACTCAATCGGTTCCGCAGGCAACTCCGTCCCAGGCAACTGCCACAGCTTCAGCCGCGAGAGAAAGGTGTGGACGAGGGAGGAGGCATCAAGGAGCGAGGAGAGGAGATGGGAGTGGACAAAGCGCTGTAGGTGGGTTCGGGCACCGGGCGGGATTGCACCTGCCGTCTGCTGGGCGACGCGCCATGCAGCTAAAGCAGAGCGGCAGGCCTTCATCAGCGGCTCAGGGCGCGGTTGGTCCTTGAACCCCGTCGCCGCCTCGTGGAGGTGCCACGCAAATGGGGGCTCCTTCCAGTGCCGCGGGGCGAAGTTGTGCAGGTTGCCGAAGTGCTGGAACTCCAGTTCATTCTGAACCACGATGCGCAGACGTCGAAGCCAGAGGTCCCAGTTCATGATCGTCTCCTTAGCGCTTCGGACTAGAGCAGAAATCGTGGAGCACTCCATTGAGACGATCTTGAGCGGGCGAGACCATAGGCCGATGCTGAGTATGTCGGTCAGGCGTAGAGACTGTGGCGGTATATGCCAGATGCGGTGCAGCAGCCAAGCCTCCTGACGTCTGAGGCGCGCGGGCCAAGGCGCCAACTGGGCAATGTAGGAGGCCTTCGACGCCGCGCGCTGGTTGTAGAGCATGATGCTGGTGCCGGTGGGGGCATGCATGTCCGCGATCGAGTGAGCCACGACCTTCCAGCCCTCAACCACCTTCATCCATCTCAACTCGTTGGTGACCGCGGGGCCCAGCAGCACACCCAGATACTCAGCCATCGGAACGATTTGCATGTGCTCCCAGCGGGGAACCATGGCCTTTAACTTCTCGAGGACCCGATCATGCAAGGTAGAGCTGAACTCCTCGGCCAGCGGCACCACCTTGCACTTGATCGTCTTGAGAGTGAGCTTCGCAAGCTTCTCTGCTGCGGCGAAGACCTGGCTCAGCGGCTTCAGCATCCGCATCGACGGGAGAACCGATCCCACATCGTCGGCACAGACGCCAATGACGGCCTGCTTGAAGTGGCGCGTGCGGTGGAAGAGGTCCCTGATCAGCGGGTCCATGCCGACCGCCCAGAGCGTCCCAGACCAGGGGCAGCCCTGGAGGATGCCAGAGCCCAGCCAGCAGAAGATGCGCAAGTGACCGCTGAGGTTGGTCCAGGCCAGTGGGAACAGGTAGATGGCATCCACCATGTTGAGGATCGACGGAGGGAAGCCCCCCAGCAGCAGCACGGTGCGAAGGAAGTGGCGGCACATCGAGGGGAACGCGTCGCCGAAGTCGAACATCATCATCAGGGGATCTCGCTCCGAGAGTTGCGGCGCCATAGACACTATTCTCGACTGCGCATCCATCATGACCACGTGTTCGATGAAGCGACGACGAGGGAGGAAGCCTTTCTGTGCATGGTGCGCGTCCTTGGCCACTATGGCCTTGATCAGGAAGTTGCCCATGGCTGCCACGATCTTGCAGTCCGTGTTCTTGAGGGAGAGAGGGCGCGTAGCCTTCGCCAGCCTTGTCACGGTCTGGCGGTCTTCAGGTTCAGACCCCTTAGGGGTGAAGATCAGGAGCGACTCATTGAAGTCCATGGGCACAGGGAGACCTCTCATGATCTCGATCGTGACATTGAGGAGCACTTGTGCAGCGATCGGTGTCTTCTTCCATGCCATGTACGGTAGACCATCAGGTCCTGGAGCCGAGTTGTTCAGGGAGCGGATGAGGTGCTGCATCTTGCCAAGCGTGGGGATGCCCATGTCCGAGCAGTCGAACTTCTTCACATGCTTCTCGAGGTAACGTTGCACGTGTTGTGTGGAGCTCGGCTTCGGCTGGAAGACTGGTGCCCACTGTTTCTGTAGCTCCGCAATCATCTCGTCGGGGTTGGACGTCTTGGAGTGGTCATGCAGGACCTCGATTGCCTTGAGCTTCAGAACCTTCCCAGAGGGTGCCCACAGCTTGCCACGCCGTGTGATCGCCCTCTGCAACCTCCGAAGACGAAGACGTTCATGAGCAGGAGTGCCAGCCGCCATCTCCTGAGAGTGAAGTGCTTCCAATCGTTCATCTTGGTACTGTTGTTGCAGGGACTCGAACTTTCGGCTGAACTCCAGAGGCGCCTTGAGCGAAACCTGCGGGAGAGACGAGAGGTCCAGGAAGGAGGCGCCAAGCTCCGTTCGCGCAGCCAGAGTGCGGGCCGCTTTCTCGTCGTTCCTCCATACTGCACGGGAAATCGATCGGCAGGTCGTCAGCGCAGCAGCAGTACAAGGGGCTCTCGAATTGGTGAGGTCGTCGCGAGTCAGGCGAGCAGCTTCACGTTGGAGGCGCTTAAGTTCTCGGAGTTGGGTGAACGGGACATAGGACTGCCACGGGGAGGCTGCCAGCAGAGTGTCCAGGTGTTGCCCGAAGAGCGGGTGTTCGAAGATATACTTCGGGATCGACTGACGCAGTCCATCATCTTCCTGTTGTCGATGAGCGAAGCGGAGGTGGACAGGCGCGTGGTCAGATATTCCTCGATCGTAGAGATCTTCGGGAGCGAGTGGGACATCAGCACGGGCACACCATTGGAGCAGTAACCAGGGCGGCGAGCTGATGTAGATTTTGTCAATGCGTGAACACTGCCGAGACTGTTCAATGTAGTGCGTGGGGATCTCGGGATCCACTTCCGTCATGTCCGAGAGAACCGATTCCCAAGCCAGCTGGTGTTCTGGGTTATGGCGTCGGAGGCGGGGGAGGCCTTTGTTGACCAGGGGCGCAGTCATCTCAAGCGGGGCTTCGTCCATGAAGTTGAAGTCGCCCATGACCAATATCGTGATCCGCTCCGGTTGCTGGGCAGCAGTGTACACCTCGGCGCGAAGAGATCGCGTGACCTTGTCGACCTCCTGCGCCGTCAGCCTGAAGTTGTGGACGTTGTAGATCACCACCATGTTCGGGAGAGACCCTTGGGCAGCCTCAGCCTCCGTCACGGTCTTGATGAGGAGGCGCTGCACTCGACCAGGGACCAATTCGGTGTGCGTGAAGCGGGACTCGTCGGCAGCCACGGATTGCGGGAGTCCAGGGACGATGATGGCCACGCCCCCAGTGCCACGCTCTGGGATGGATGAGAAGATCGCCGCCTCGATGTGGGCCAGGTGTACAGCATGTTGGAGCTCAGCGTGTGACCCATGAACTTCCTGCAGAGCAAGCACCGAGGTGGCGCGAAGCGCCTCCACCATGCACTGTGTCTTGCGTCGGCGCTGCGTCATGTTGTTGCACAAGAGGGCACGGGCGTTCCACGTGGTGAAGGAGACCTGCGGCTGCATGTGGGCTGCCCTCCACGGGGCAAGCGTGCGGCTAAATCCGCCACTGCACCTCCCTCTCCTCGAGGGTGGTCCTGAAGTGGTCCTCGAAGCTCTTCTTGATGGCCTCCCTGTTGATCGAGTGCGTGGAGCAGCCCTCATAGTTGAAGAGGAGGCGAGACGGTGTCTCACGCGTGGCGCCCACCACCACTGAGACCACAGGCATGTTGTTGCAGAAGATGATGCCCTGCTGGCGATCAGCGCGCCAGCGCTTGTCAGGAGCGTGCTCTCTGCCGAACTGCGCCAACTTCTTAGATTGGTATTCGCATCGGGCGGACTTCGCTGATCTGTCAAGGCCCAAGTAGAGGCGGGAGTTCTGTCCGTGAATGTTTGCCACCTCCGTCTCCAGCCAGGAGCCGTCCGCATTCTTGAGCTTGGAGTAGAAGAGGCGCACCTTGCGGGACGCGGAGTTGGCATCCCCTGAGAACTGGACCACGTAGCGACGGGCGGGGCTTTTGCCTTGAATAGACCACTGATCAGACTCCAACTCGCAGCGATCCATGATGGGCTGGATGCTCTCTTTGAAACGCTCCAGGGAGAAATTCTCCGCGGCCGTGGCCACGATGATGCTGGTGTCGGCGGCCCGATCCCACTCCAGGAGGTTCTCGTAATCCTTGATCGGGATCTGCGCCTCCTGCATGTGGAGCTGTTTGCGTAGCTCCGCCAGTTGGGACCAGATCTGCTTGTTCGAGTCCTCCAGGCGCTGGGAGGCTGACTGCAGCTCTGTGATCTCACCTCGAAACTGAGCATTTTGCGAGGCCTGCTGGGACACCACCGCCGCCAGGGGGCCCTTGAGCTGTTCTCCGAAGTTCGCGATGACCTCAGACTTGATAGCAGCCAGCTTCGCGTCCAATTGCTTCGTGAGGAAGTCCTGTGATGCAGCGATGGCCGCCTGCACTGCGTCCATTGGGTCCTGCGACCCAGCAGCACGCTCGGGACCTCCGTCCGCGGTGCGGGGGCGCTTGGCCCAGGGGTCAGCTCCAGGCTGCGCCAGTGGGTCGCCACCACCGTCAGCTGCAGCGGCGCTGCCAGATGCCCGAGGTGATGGAGCACCAGTAGCAGCACGAGGGGTGCCAGGAGCAGAAGCCGCAGCACCCGCGGGCATCGGGTCGGAAAGTGAGCCTCTTGCTCCCAGGGGCCAGACTGGGCGGAGCAAGGGCGAGCGAGAAAGAAAGCACTGGGCGCCGAGGGCGCGCGAAGAGGAACTTCTTGTCCTGCGACGGGAGGGACGGCGAGCAGAAGTCCCAGGGACTCGAGCTGCTGCCCACCCCCCGCCATCTTGAGCCAAAATGGCTACGGATGCGTTGTGCAAGATGTGTTGTAAAATCTGTGTCTTGCAATATGCGTGGTGCATTATATGCTGTGCAATATGTGATGCAATGTATGTGGTGCAATACTTGTGGTGCAATACATGTGCTGCAGTCTATGTGGTGCAATATATATTGTGCTACCTACGTTGTGCATTCGATATTGTGGAGGACATGTGATGCAATATATGTTGTGTAACATATGTTGTGCAATATATGTGGCAGAATGTATGTAAGGCAACCTGTGTGAAACAATAATGTAGTGCAATGTATGTGTTGCAGCCTATGTGGTGCATTCTATGTTGTACAATATGCGACATGCAATATATGTGGTGCAGTCTAAGTTGGGCAAGATATGTGGTGCCATATATAGGCCATATATAGGTTAAGCAATGGCAACGCAGGGCAATGCTCAGCACGGCGTAGCAATGCGAAGCAAGACAAAACAATGCAAAGCAACGCAACGCAAAGCAATGCAAAGCAAAGAAAAGCAATGCAAAGCAAAGCTTGCATTGCAGTGTTTTGCAATGCAAGGCAATTCAAAGCAACGAGGAGCAACGCAAAACAATGCAACGCAGAGCAACACAACGCAACGCGACGGCGACGGCGAAGCAACAGCGACGGGCGGCGACGAGGCTGCGACGGGGCGGCGACGACCGGCACGGAGCCGCCAGACCGAAACACAAGCCCAGGCGACAGTCGGCAACGAGGCGGCGACAGGGCGGCGACGGCTGGCACGGAGCCGCCAGACCGACACACAGGCCCAGTTCCCAGTTCTGTAGACCAGGAGCAAGGGCCACTACGTGCAAGCAGTGTTTGGGGAACATGACCTCTGCATTGCTCAGACCTGTGGTGAGAGTTCTCGGCCGAAGCATATCCCCAACCATACCCTCCTATTCTCCCTCCTTCTACCCCTCCCCCTCCTCCCCCTCCTCCTCCTCCTCCTCCTCCTCCTCCTCCTCCTCCTCCTTACACATCATCCTCCCTGGCCCTCCGTGATTGCCCTCCCCATCCCTTTCCTCCTCCCCCTCCTCCTCCTCCTCCTCCTCCTCCTCCTCCTCCTCCTCCTCCTCCTCCTCCCCCTCCTCCTCCTCCCCCTCCTCCCCCTCCTCCTCGTCCTCCCCCTCCTCTTCCTCCTCCCCCTCCTCCCCCTCCTCCCCCATTCGTCATCCCCCTCTCCTCCCTACTACCTCTCCCTCCCTCCCGACCCTGCTGCCGCCCTCGGCGGGGGGCCCAGAGGAGGCCCGCCGAGCCCACCGGCTCGATCGTGGCTCTGCTCGAGGTCTCGGCACAGCGCGCCTGCGGGCGTGGCGCGGCGGTTCCCACCGCGACTCTCGCTGGGCCATAGCACCGAAGAGTCAGGAAGGCACCAACGATACACCAACACCGATCCTGGCCAGGATCACCCTGGGCCCAGGATCGGTGTATGCGCCCTCCTGCCTTGGGCAAGAAGGCATTTACACCGATCCTGGGCCCAGGGTGATCCTGGGCCAGTATCGGTGTTGGTGTATAGTTGGTGCCCTCCGAAGAGTGGAGCAGCAGCAGCAGCAGCAGCAGCAGGAGGGGGGGGGGAAAGCCGTGGTTTCCTCCTATACAAGCACCCTTTGCGGCCGTGTTTTTGGCTGATAAATCCTCTGGCGTGCTGTGGTCTGATCGCAACGAAGGCCACCAGCAATGTTAGCCAATCCTCTGATCCGCACGCGTCAAACGGAAAATTGCATGCGTCCAGGTGAGGAACGACGCTGGCCAGCAGGGGGGGGCGAGCGGGCCAAAAGCAGAAGCAGCGGAGCAGCGGAAAGTCCGATCCAGACAACGGTGTGATAGAGCTTGCCGATTCGCAGATCAGGTTGGCAGGAGAAGGAAGGAACAAGCGAGGAGGCGGAGGAAGGGAAGACCAGCCGGCAGGCGGACTGGGCAGGCCACAGCGGTTACGGCTCAGGCCGCGGCCCGAACAGGACGTGAGACTACGGATAGTCATCACTGAACAGGAGGAGGAGGAGGAGGAGGAGGAGGAGGAGGAGAAGGAGGACCAGAGCAAACCCAGGACGCATCAGCGATGAAGCAAGACACCCTCCCGGCCCAAGCCCCTCTCCCCACGAGTCCCTCCAAACCCTTTTCTCACTGCCGGAAGCGCCCCCGCCAAAGACGAGCCCCCTGTGGGTCTGCCATGCAGGCAAAACCCCGATTCGAAAATGAGCTGCCCTGCACGGGTCTAGCGAGCCAACGACTCCCGGCGGATGGCGCAGCGGAACCACTTCCGCCAACGCCAGGGACAAGGCTGCCCAAAGTTCAACTCGGGGGCGCGCAAACATGGATTAACGATCCATGGATTTGGCGCGCGGACGCCAAATCCATCGATACGGGGAGATGCCCTCCCCAAAATGCGGCCGGTGCCGACTCGTGTTCGGCGGCGGAAATCCGCGAAACGTCCCATGGGAGCGGGACCCGTCGCTAATCCACGCCCCCTCGATCCATGTTTGCGATCGCCTGCTCAACGAAGCGTCCGGCGAGAGCGCCGCTTGAAGAGGAAGTCGCCCCCCACGGGTTGTAAAGAGAGACCGCCCTCCGCCCGTGCAGGTGTCACACATTTGTTCCCAAGACTGCCGCCTGCTTTTGACGACGAGGGTGCCGCGAGCGAGAGCACCCTCTTGAAAAAGGAGCCGTCCTCCATCCTTCGAAGATCTGCAGTGCTACGGCGAGGCAGCGTCTCGAAAACGAGCCGGCCTCGATCCCTGCAACTGCTGCAGGGTTAGAAAGCGAATACGGGCGGCGCAGAAGCGACAGCCGCATTTTGAAAACTACGGGCCCTCCATGTTTGCAGCTGCTGCAAGCTTTGAAGACGCTTGCGCGCACCGCTAAGGCCGTTGCAACCTTTTCTGAGACGAATGCGCGCGTCGCTGAAGCGCGAGCCCCATGTCACGATATGTTTTACGCCACTCCTCCAAACAGCTCTCACGGGCATCGCTTCTTGGGGATTTTTTGGGATCGCGAGCGCACCGGGAGACGTCGGACGCCGTCAAAGGTCGCAGCAAGCGGGCTACGAGCGAATTGCGCACCAGGGGGCTGGAGGGAGGCGACGAGAGGACAGCGGAAGTCGGAACTAACAGGAGGCGGGCCTCGCTGCCGCTCAGAAGAGGGCGCCGTCGACTGGGGGGGAGCCGCCAAGCGGAGTGCATCGCTAAAACGGCGGGGAATTATGGTTGAACGACAACGCGAGCATACTGAAAGACAGCGACCACCGGCTCGTAGACGCACCACGAAGACCAGGCGACAGGACCAACGGTTGCTCCGTCGCAAGGTGGCGGTCGAGTCACACGCGCCGCCAGGCGTCGACCAACTCACGTGCAGGCGCTCCACAGACCAGAGTCCGGATCGCCAGACACCGTCAAGGATTGATGTCGAGACCGCGTGCCTCAACGCAGGGGGTGCGAGCGGGCGCTCGCGCACCGGTGCAGAACCGACCCATACGACCGAAGACACCGGGGCGCGCCATGAAAGCGTCCAGCCGCGAGCATGATGCATCCCGCTTGGGGACCGTCGGGTAAACAACCCGCACGGTGGGGATGACCGGGAGGTCAGCCGGCCCCAGGCCGGTGAGGGATGCCGCAGGCCAAGGGCCGCAGGGGGCGGAGAGGCCGAGGCGGAGGGGCAGCAGAG